AATAAATGTAATTTATTCCCGTGATGCAAAGCTGAATTTTCAGCATCATTACTCCAGTATTCAGTGTCACATGATCCTTCAGAAATCATTCTAATATACTGATTTGCTTGTTTTTTTTTTTTATTATTATCAGTGCTGCTTAATATTTTTGTCGATACATTCTTTGATGTACTGCGAGTTCAAAAGAACAGAATTTATTTTAAAAAAAAGAAAAGAAATATTTTTATAATATTAGAAATGTCTTTACTGTCGTTTTTGGTCAATTTAATGCATCACTTAATAATTAATCAATGAATAACCCCAACAGTACAGTATACAAATCAGGAAAAATCAAACAGATTTAGTTATTCAGTGAAATTCAAATAGTAGTCCATTCATTTTTCCAACACAGCAACATGAAAGCATGTCCAGGTTTAAATATTTTTATAATATTAGAAATGTCTTTACTGTCGTTTTTGGTCAATTTAATGCATCACTTAATAATTAATCAATGAATAACCCCAACAGTACAGTATACAAATCAGGAAAAATCAAACAGATTTAGTTATTCAGTGAAATTCAAATAGTAGTCCATTCATTTTTCCAACACAGCAACATGAAAGCATGTCCAGGTTGGATTGTTTTTTTGAAATAAATAAATAGAACATATAATAAAAATGTATCAAATACATTTTAAAAAGTAGAAATAAAAGTAGATTCTGCCACAATGTATGAATTAATTATAAATCTTAATAAGATTTCTGTGCTTAACGGTCATGAAAGTGTCACAGTGGCAAAAACTCTTAATGGTCCAAAAAACATGCTTAATTTCCTTGTTCTTAACAGCTTTTGTGTGATTCAATTGTTAAGTGAAACAGGAGATTTAAATGGACTAAATATAGACGTGTGTCATTCGAACGCTTTTGTAATTTACGTCAATGTGGACTGAACAGGCAACTCAAATTTCTCCAACCATGGAGAAATATTCCACGAGTCTGTTATACTGCAAAGATCTGAGAAGAAGAACCAGCCGTCTTCCAGAAGGCACAAGCAACGCTAAACTAAAACCGGCAAAGAAATTGATTACACTGATTGCTACATATGCCCTATTTTGTTTATTGTTGCCATGCATTCGACATTTTTCATAACAATCGAGATTGTGTTATGTCCACAATCAATCATAAAGCTGCTCTAATAGATGTACTGCCTTTAAGGTCAAAGATCAGCAGTTGAGTGCTAAGAAACCCATCATTATTTTATAGTCCTGAACAAACACACTGTTGACTAAAGGGGTGTTTTATTCTGCCACACATCCTGGTGTCAACGGTCATAATCACATGACTGAATTTCTAATCTTTGTCAGCATGGGAAGTTGGCGGATGGCATACATGAATAAAAATGTGAATTAAATTATTGAGAAAAACAGCAAATGGGCAATTCCGAAAAAAGGACACATGATTCATATAGCCTTTTCAGTGTCTTCTGAATCCATTTGGTAGCTTTGTGGCAAGAAGAGCACGCGATAGAAGTCATAATGTTGGGCATATGCATTAATATATGGCTAAACAGCTTCTTTCATCACTGCAGAGTTTGAAGAGGTGAAAGAGAGGAGAATCTGGACATGCATGGCAGGATCTCACAGTTGTTCTTGATTAATGCATTAACATGCGGTCTGGAGGTATGTTTGGCTGCTGGGACCATCTACATCCCACCTATGCTGCTGGAGGCAGGGGTGGAAGAACGATTCATGACCATGGTATTGGGTAAGTCACTCCCAAAGAGATCACTGTCAACGTTGTTTTTGGAGGGCAGTGAATAGTTTAGTAGTGTAGCCGAGTTATTAAATATCTGGACTGATGAACAAACATTTGAAAGGTGTTGGAACTTCAGATGGGATTATCGTGAGCTTCAAGGCTTTCAGCGGTTTTGAAATGTAGGCTAGTACAAATAGTACGAGTGTGAGAATGCTTCTGCGTTCACACCATATCAGAAATATGTCAAATATGAGTTGTCAAACTCAGTTAACAAGTTTCTTAAAGGTCATATATTGTATTTAAATGACATATTTCTGGCATGACGCCA